TTCGAATCTGGACCGACAAATTTGATATTTCAAAATTTTAAAACTTCGAAATTCTCGATCTACCATAACACATAATGGCGATACGAATATTAGAATTCGTATAGAATTAGGATTAAGACAGCTCTGTTCTGATTCTGACCTTGATGCTTGAATAACAAGTATTTGTAGACAGTTATATAACAGACATTAGTCAATACATTCACGCATTACGTATAGACCGAAAAAATGTGAATATTTCAAGCAGAGAATAATGAATGCAACTATTATCTTTTCTTTGAGTAGTACAAAATGATACTAAATATGCTTTTTTTCTGTCATAGTTTCTAGTTATAAACCAAGCCGACTGGGCCCGATCCAGCAGTTTGACCGGAACTGGTCAAATCGGCCGGACCGGACACCCGGTCCGATTGCATCTCTGGTTCTAGGATTCAGCTAGTTTGAACTTGAACAAGCTCAGTGCTTTCAGAGTGGATTTTTTCCTCGTCTGAAGTAAGATACAAAAGGGTACACCCAGCGGCGAGTTATATGGTTATAAGGCTTCAAACAACAAAAATACCATCGACATCCTGTCAGGATTCATATAATATGTTGTAAAGCTTCACTACACCAAAAAAACGAAAGAAAACGCTGTAATTTGTTGTTCTAACTTATAATCGTGTAGTTATAACTTGTGCGACGACGGCGCGTTGCTCCTCCGCTTTTGCAGTGGAATACGTCAGTGGAAATTTTTTTGATTCACACGTAACTTGAGAATCTGTCACTCGGGGTTATATACACTCTTTCGGTGTCATATTGCAAAAAAATCACTTATGCATTTATGATCCTGCTGTAGAATGTAAACCTTCCAAAATCCTAGCCGAACTATCATCTTTCTTACTCTAATGCTTCTGTCCTGTTTGCTCGTGTTTTCAAAATTCTATAGGTGTTATTGTTTGCTTTCTTCACGCTTTTCTGCTTTACGTGATAACAGCATTAGATCTACTTTATTCAAGTCGACGCTCTGAACGAAGTCGGTGTGTTACAGTGAGTATTCTGCAACAGATGCGTATATCATGTTCTTTTTGGCTTGTGTTCCAGACATTGCTGTTAATTCACTTCTAAAGAATAGCAACAAATCTTGAAAGTCACGGACTCCGCTATATCAATTTTTCTAATGAATAAACCATTACTATATTAGCATAAAACGCGAATATTTAGTTAACTTTTTACGAGGATAAGATATTTTTCTGACAATATTCAATGGGTTGATCTGATACAATAAATTCTTAGTCAGCGGAAGCGCCATCTGAAGGATTTTAATTCCTCAAAATTGTGACGAATCGATGGTTCCATATTTAATAAGTAAGAGTTATGTTTATATTCTTACAGTATAGCACTCTTTAATAAAGTGGGTCTTTCAGATTGTACTTGTTTAGCACATTACCTTGTTTGCAGACATGATTAATTTTTACTATATGATGAATTATTATGTTCTCTTGCTGCTGAAAAACGTCACACAGATATGCTTTTTAGTGTATTTATTTTTAGATCTCTAATATTTTTTTATTTATTTTTTTACTTTATTATAAATACTAATCGCAATGTCAGATAGTCAGTTGTCTCATCCATTTGGTCAAGGTTATTTTCCTCCTGCATATAAATTCAACACAAATCGAATAACTTCGAATAATCAACAATCTCAGAAATATGTGTCAACAACAAATGCTGTTCATTACCAAAATCAATCATCAACAAAACTACCACAACAATCTACGACATCGACAAACTCCTTTCAACGATGGAATTCAGCTTCGACATTTAAACAGCCACCGCCTGCTCAACCGCCAACATTGTTTCCTCGACATAATTCTGCATCATCACTTACACAACAACAGCAACAACAAAAAAGTAAGAGAGCTACTTGAAATCGTAGGATGAGCGTCGTGTTCGTACGAGGGATGTGACTAGTTGTCAAATAGAAAGAAGAAATAGAAAGGATCTCCCGTTTTATTATTATCTGGTAGGAGAGGCGAGATGTTTAGAAAAGCTCATATTGTACGTCTTTTCTAAAAAGAGTTGCTTCTATATTGTTGTCTTTAACAAATTGAGTTCACTTTATGCTTTTTAAGCATAAAAGTAAAGTGAAATTAACTGGAGATCATGATCTATGCGTTTTACGAAAACGCCCATCTTGTTTGTGTTACTACTTTATGAATAAATGGATGATGTTTTTGCTTATATTAGAATACAAGGAGCATTTTGTTTACTGAAATACTATGTCAATGTTTTCTTCAGAGAATGTACTCGAGTACATACGAGAATCAAATATATTTTGAAAAGCGTTTCTATTTTTAGCTTTGTCGTCAAATAATGCTGCTCCAGCTGCTTCTCACATCCAAACTTACATTCATGACCATTTCTCTCTCTCTTCCTCATCCTCTCGTTGGCGTCCAAATCAATCGACTGGTGGTAGTCAACAACAACCAAAACTAATTGGTCTCACAACAGTGCCACGAACAAATAATCCGACATCAACAGTATCAAAATTTCAATTAATCTCTTCAGCTGATACTCGCCGTATGCCAGAAGTTGAAATTGCACTAAAACAATTGTTATTAAACATTCAAACGTCTCCTAAAGAGGGTGATGAAATACAAGAACCAATAACGTTAAAAGAAGTACAACTACATCCATATCAACGATATGCTCTAGCGTGGATGAATTGGCGAGAACAGACGGCTCCATCAGGCGGTATTTTAGCAGATGATATGGGGTAAGTTCGATGAATCGTAGTTAGTTATGAAAATAGGTTCTTTATTTATTTAAAAGAGATTATTATTGGTTAGATGAATCTCTCACGTATAGGAAATAGATCTTATAAGGGGTGAATAATGTTAAATAAGTTGATTAGACTGTTATTTGCGCTGAAAAGTATCTTCTGTACACAACAGAATATTAAACTAGTTTTTTTTTCTGTAAGAAATAGACATAGCCTTGTAAGACTTAGCAGAAATGTTTTGCTCTTAAATGGTTTGGTGTTATAGATGGGCGGGCCTAGAAACTTTTTCCAGGGGGCTCAATAATTTTTTCAGAGTGATACATGCAGAAACGTACTTCCCGGAGATGTACGTAGTTTTTCAATCAAGCATTGTTCTTTTTTTTACGTCGAATTCGAAGAAAATACACAGCTGCGAAATATAATTCATCAAAGGGCAATAACTGCTTATTGCTCTTGATATTTTTCCCCCACTGGCACCCCCCTCCCTCCCAGTGATGTTATATGAGTTTGTTTACAATGTCATCGTTTTACTCCCATTTTGTCTGGACTGCACTCAGTTCCAACTTCTTGTTTCTTATTTTTACAAAAAAATTGGTGTCACTAAGTCATCTTCAGCAATTAACGAAAAGCATCAACATTTTCGTTTATTCTTATTTCATTTTAGTCTTGGTAAAACTGTAACAACCGTTGCATTTATTCTTTATCGAATGGAATCGTCGTCGATAACAACTGCATCTTCATCTACAAATGAAAAGTTAATACCTACAACATTAATTGTTGTTCCTGCGACTCTGATGCATCATTGGGAAGCGGAAATAGATCGTTTATCATCAATGAGATGTTATATTTATCATGGTAGTTCTAGAAAACGAGAAATTGAGAGAGGAATTAAATTTAAACAATATGACGTCGTTTTAACATCGTATGAAATTGTAAGATCAGAATATGGTCAACAAACAACAGCAATTGAACAAGTACGTTGTTTTTTCTATTATCTTCAGAATTTACTTTCTTACTATCTAGGAGGAGGCAGTTTGCAATAAATCTTGATTTCTTTAGAATTGATCTGTCTTTATAGTCGAATCCCTTGTTCAGTGTGAAATGGACACGTGTTATTTTGGATGAAGCACATCGTATTCGCTCTCATACAACTCAAACAGCACATGCCTGTGTTGGTCTTGTAGCAATTTATCGCTGGTGTTTAACTGGTACACCGATTCATAATAAAGCCGATGATTTTTATTCATTATTAAAATTTTTACATTATGAACCATTTGATATTCATGGAACATGGAAAATATTTATATCAAATAAAGAAAAATTTCAAGAAAGAATGAAATGTTTAGTCAGTGCTCTATTATTAAGACGAACAAAACAAGACAAAAATCATCTTGGTAAATATCGCAAATATGTTACTTGTTCAACTGTGAATTGATCTCTCTCTTTTTAGGTCAACCACTCGTACCACTTCCATCTCGTACCGTCGTCGACATATGGTTGAATTTGTGTGACGTTGAACGTAATTATTACGAGAAAATTCGTAGCAATATGACATCGACATATCAAAAATTTCTTCGACTTCGTCAACAAAAGCAAAAAACGAATACAGTCGTTTTATTTACATTGATGTTAAAATTGCGTCAAGCGTGTAATCATTTATCATTGGTACAGCGTATTTCATCAGATGATGGTCAAGATGTTCTAGATGAAGTGAAAAAAGATGTTGATTTAGAATTGTCAATGTTCAATTTGGATTTAAATGATACATTGACAAATGATGAGAATATTCAAAATACACAAAATGATATGGCAAAACAACAGTTTGATCAGACATACATGAGTACAAAATTAAAATGTTTATTGGATAAATTAAATGAAATTGTCAAACAAAAACAAGAAAAATGTAAGCAGTAACAACATTTTAATTAAAACCTAGAAGACACACTTTGACAAAAATTAAGTTTTTAGTATCTCACTTTTGCTGAGCTTTCTGTAAGAAATAAATACATTCAGGTAATATCTTAAAAAGCTTAGAGGAGCAATCTTTCAAAACCAGTCAGAATAATATCAGATTAAGTTGAAGAGTAAGAATTCCATTCAGTTTTTTTGTACAGTGTTGGAAATATTCCCTCTTTTTCGAAATTTAATTATTTTAAGTTGAACGTTGTCTAATGTACAAGAGAGTCTATACTACAAAATCAGAGCAGTTCTAGCGTTCAAGAACCTTTTTTTTTTGCAAAGGCTATGAATATTTTTACGCAAGAGTCTGAAAAACGATAATCTGTGTGGTGTTGTTACCCTGTGTAGTATGCTAACACTACCTTTAAAAAGTTTTCTCATATATGTAGTCTGGTAGAACAAAGTGTTCTCTTCGCAATGAGACCACTTCCAAGATTTGAAAACGGTTTTTCTCAGAGATATGAATATTGTTGCAAATGCTCTTGAAAAAGTGAACTGTCTAATGTTATCTGAAATGTTAATAATACTGAAGTTTCTAATCGAATCATGTTATAATCTCTCAAAACAGAGTCCGATCGACTTGGAATTTTCACCACAAATATTTCAAAATTTATTTTAAATTTAGTTTAAAATGTATTCGCTTTCAACTTTTGTCATGTGAAAATTTCTAAAATCAAAAAATAACTTCTATATAGGATTTTCAGCATTTTTCGAAGATATCACAAAGAAAAACATATTTTTTGAAAACAAAAATTTAGAATCTGAAATAGAGTTAGAAGTATTTTTGATAAAAATTTAGGCTCTGTTGAACCTTTGCCATCAGGATGAAAACGAGAGAGGAGTCTCATTCAGTTGGTGGTGAGTTGAATCTTTAGGGCGAAAGATCATATAAAATATATTTTACAGAAAAGAAAGAATAAGTAAGTTTTTTTATATGGTTAGGAAAAGTTATGTGAAAAAATGCGTCCGCTTTTATCTATTTTTGCAAAATAATGAATAATTATGTGGTTCTGTTTATTTACCTATTTAGGTATTGTTGTATCGTCGTGGGTTGGTATGTTGGACATTATTCGTTTTCATTTACACAAGAAATTATTAATTCGAACATCAACAATAAGTGGTCAAGTTAAAATTTCAGAACGACAGCAAATAGTTAAACAGTTCAATGATAGTAATGATAAATTAAATATGGTACGCTCTATTTTGTCTTTGTTTCCCTTTTATTAAGATCATCGAAAGTGTAAGCATGTGCTTATATATTCGAAAAAACAAATTCTACTGAAAGAGTTGTCATACATTACACTACCATTCGTTAGTATACCAGAAATGCATTATTGATTCCTAATCTTTGGTTCTCTTTTAAGGGTCCCCCTCAGAAAAAACTTTTTTGTCTTATATGCGATTCTGATGACACTTTTAGCAAATGTTTGCGATATCAAAGTGTGGTTATGAAATTTGTTTTTCTCGCTATCTCTTACCGGTCCGGGATTTTCCAGAGTCCAATATCCAACACTCACCCTTCATTGTGAGGCACTTTTTAAATCTACTTCAAGCTAGAGATCTCGGGTTAGTTTTATTTTAAACTAGACACCTAACTGCATGGGCTGATGGGAGCGGATTTTTGAATTAGGTCTTTGTTTTCTAGAGATCTAAGATCCTCAAAAGTCCAAAAAATTCTTTCAGATTTCCCGAAGATCCTTGATTTTCTAGAAAACTAAGGTCTAATTCAAAAATTGGCTCCGATCAGCCCATGCGGTTAGGTATCTAGTTTAAAATAAAACAACCAAATAATTTTTGAATACAAGCTCACACAGAGTTGTGCAATGTCTTATTTTGATCCGAAAAGTCTGCTCTACAAATCTACATGTTCAGAAAAAATTTATTATTTGAAGATCCTTGTTTTCAAAGCTTCTAGAGAACTTGCTCGATAACCATGAAAAACCAGTTCTAGGCCTAAAAGTGGTGCAGATTCTGAAAGTAGACACTCCAGGCTATCTTTCCATGTGCTTGTCTCCAAATTG